TGAGACCCTGTCACAAAATAAAAAATTAAAAAGGCTGGGGCTGTGGTTCAGTGGTTAAACATTCCTGGGTTCAAAAAAAGGAATAAACAAATAAAATAAAAAGGACTGAGGATGTAGCTCAGTGGTAAAAAGCCCCTGGATTCAATTCCCTGTACCAAAACAAATAAACTTCCCCCTCCCCATGCAAATTCCTAACATGTCCTGGTCCAAAAAAAAAAGGGATAGGAAGGAACCTGTAAATGAGGTGCAAGATGGGATTACTTGACTAGGATGCTAAATGATCAGATGGAAGTGACAAGGACAGAGAAGTATAATGACACTGGGGGACAGATTAGCGCCAACATGAGATGCCAGAGGGAAAAGTCTGAGAAGTGAAGAAAGGCAGGGAGGGCAGAAGGAACCATCTGGAGGTATAGCCAGGAGCTCACCATCGAGTCAGGGAATCCTGGATGGCGTTGGTGAGTGCATGGCCCAGATGCAGGGAGCCTGTCACATTGGGGGGTGGGATGCACATCATGAAGACCCCTCGGGAATTTGGTGTTGACACGCTAGGACGCTGACAGTGGAAAAGATGGGCATGTGCTAAGGCTTTAAGTCACCTCACCTGGCTCCCTCCCAGGCAATGAATCCTTTAGCCCTTCCCTTCCCCATCCCGCTCAGGGGTCTGGGCAGCAGCGCCCACTCACCCCGTACTCTGGCTTGAAGAAGCCCTGTTTCTCCCACCAAGGATACCAGGCAGCCTCCACATACTGAGGACTGTAGGAATCTGGCATATTGGCATTGACATCTGGGGAAAGGATGGGGGGGCTCAAAGAATGGCCAGGGAGGAATGGGCCAGCACATATGGAGCAGGACACATCACAGAACAGGCATCAGCATTCCCTGAAAACCCTTACCAAGCAAAGTGCAAAGAGCCAGGACAGTGAAAAAGGAGTAAAAACCAGGAAGAATCCTTTTCAGTTGGGGGGTATGTGGGGGTCTCCTCCCCTTCCCTCTCCTGGTACCTTTCTTTTCCCCAGGTGGGGTTGGGAGGTCATAAGTAATGACCCCAGGATCCCGTTTCTCCTTTTTCTCTGCTTTTGGTTTCTTCTGCTTGGGAGAGAAAAGATAGAGGCCCAGACATCAGCCACCCACCATAGCACAAACCCTTCTTCTAGCTCCACCCTTAGCCTCTCACCTCCCCTGGGGGTGGCTGCTGCTGTTGGATCTTCTGCTTCTGCTGGAATTTCTCTAACTTTTCCCGCTTCTTTGCCTCTTTCTTGAGTTGAGCAGCTGTCTTTGGGGGTGCAGGGTCTCTCTCAGGTCCTGGAGAGAAGCACAGAAATTCAGAAGTGAACCTGGATCCTCTGTGAACAGTGCTACTGTGTTTCAGAAGAACTACTTCAATTGCATAAATGCTCCCTTGCACTGACGTTCCACCATATCCCGCCCACCCCTGCCTGCTAACAGGTCCCTAATCCAGTGATTTAGTTATTCCTAACAGAAAAAAGCAAATAAGTTCCATGGAAAGCCCCAGAGGAGCATATATTCACAGCCCTTCCCTCTGCTCACCTGGCTGTTGAGAGAGAGACCTGGTCCCTGCATACAGAACTACATCTCCTAGCACAGCCCGGAATTCTGGCTGCCGAATACATGTGATAAACCATCGAGTCACATTACCCCAGATCCGGCGGGCAGAGGGGTCCAGGACCTGGGAGGAAAAAGAAATGACTGTCTTTCATCACTCTATAATGAAGTCTGAGAGAAATAATGTTATTCCTCCCTAGGCCCCAATGACTCACATATCGGAAGGGTAGTAGCAAAGCAGTCACAGCTGCCAGGTCGGCCAGAGTGGGAGCATCCCCAGCCAGGTAGGTGTGCAGCCGAAGCCACTCCTCCAAGGGGCTCAGGGCCTTGCCCAGGGCCCCCAGTGCAGCCTGCAGGAAGGGGAAAGGATGTGAGATAGAACTTAGCTCACTTTAATCCCACCTTATCGCCCACCTCAACCTGATCCATTTGGCCTCCCTCTACTCCCGCAAATCACCACCTGAGACCAGTACATTTTCACTCAAGTGGTCATGAGAAAAATATTTCTGGCTGTGGATAAAACACATGCTTGACATGCACTAGGCCCTGGGTTTGATCCCTAGCAATTGCCAAGTCCCAGGGGATCAACAAACATATTCTATTGAGAGAAGGATAAATTAGCAAATATATAATGTGTTACCCTTTTTTTTTTTTTTTCTTAATTCCTATCAGCAAATAAGCAGGCTGAAAATAACAGGGTTTTGCAGGACAGAGAGACTCTATTTTAGATAGGGTGATCAGGATAGGAAGGAACAAGCCAGGGTCCACATTACATTCATTCATTCATTGGAGAAACACTGAGTGTCTACCATGTGCTCAATACTCTGCAGGAGGCAGAGTTTTAAGTATACTAAGACACAGCCCTACAGTGGAAGGATTTAGGTGCAATCTGGTGGGATTATCTCTCTTCTCCCTCACTTCCTTTCCTCATTTCATTCCTCCTTTATCTCCTCCCAGCAACTGTCATCTTTCCCTCACCCAGGTTTTCCCTACAATTCAAAGTAACTTTTATCCTCATCAGTTTCAGACTCATCAAACTTCTTTTCCATCCAACTTTTATTAGGAAACTAAAACGCCAGGCACTAAGGCTGCACTTCGCACACATCTTTTAACCTCATTACATCAGTGAGACACAAATTACATCAACTTGCATTTTCATAGACATATGCAGACAAGGCTCAGAGAATTAAAAAAAAAAAAAAGTGCCCAAGGTTACTACACCACCAATCCTTCCTTCCCCAGAATTTTCCCCTTCCCTCATCTCTCCTCCCACTCACCTGGGGGTCTTGAGCTGGACTTCGGAGTCCCAGCGCTGGCAGCGTTGCCCCACATGCAGCTGGTATCAGCTCTGTATCAGCATAACTGACCCATTGTTGGACAAGGACAGCTGCCCGGCTACCCCCAGGTCCCCCCAGGCCTGCTGGCCACAACAGCTGGGCCACAGCTGTGGCTCCCCAAACCCAGAGTCCACCCGGACCTTGCTCCAAGGCGGGCAGGCGGGGTGGGGGAAAAGGAGTGCGGCTGGTGGGAGGCGGCTGGAGACAGATGCGAGGGTGGGCTCCTCCCCATCCAGGACCCTCCCCAGCCTCCCCATAGCGAGCGGCTATGAGGGCTCGAAGGCTGGGGAAGGCATCTGGGTGAGGGGAGACGTAGAGGATGGACATGGTTATGTGAGGGTCCGGACGAGTTGGAGAAACCTAAGGAGAAGAGATGGAAGACTGAGGAATCCTGAAAGTCCCATATTTGAAGAGAGGGAACCCCATAAGGGAGTTCCTCTGTCGCAGGAGTCTGACGAGGTTTCAAAAGCCTACGGGCCTGGCTCTAAGTAGAAGAGTGACAATGGAAAGCGCCTGGAATTGAGGAGATGGGGCGGGCACGATCGCCGGGCCTCAGGAGTGTGGGAATTTCGCTGGAGCCGGTCCGCGTCCGGTAGGACGCAGGTTCGGGTCGCGTGTACGTACTGGAGGGAGGTGGTCAGACTGAGTCGGGAATCCCCCTCGAAATCGGGCGCCAGCCGCTGCTGGACAGGCCGGCGGCCCGGGAGGAGGCGTCGGGCGGGCAGATGGTAGGCGGTTCTCCAGAAGACCCTAGCTCCCGCGACCGCCGCTGGGGCAGTCGGCGCCCACGTGGTCCCCCCTTTGTGACAGCAAGCGTTTCCGGGCCGGCGGGTCCTGGCAGGGGAGGCCTGGCCCTGCCTGGGGAAGCGCACGCTTTCCCGCCCAACCCTGCCTAGGGAGCCAAGGCGCTCGCCACGCTCGCGAGAAATGGCGCGGGCCGGCCAACAGGACGCCCCGGGAGCCGGGAGCAGTCCGTGGTCGCCCGTGCTCCGGCCAGGCACCGCCACGGGCACCCCATGGGGTCCTTCCTCAGGCCGGGGCGGGGCGGTGGGGCGGTGCCCAGCGGAGGAACCTGCCGCTTAACACCGATGGTCGCTAGGTGGCCTCAAAGATCCCTTAAAGCTTGCGCAGTTACGGTACAGTTGCTGAATGAGGAGTTGGAATTTAGTAATTTCCACTCTCCCCACTATTGAAGGATACGGAAAATAAGTCCCGGGACATTCACCCCATCTGTAGGTATTTCCCCACCAGCATTGTGGGAAGGAAAATTGAAGCTTTTGACATTTAAAAACCCAGGCCTCAGCCATAGGGTAGGAACACAAAAGGAACTTGCACCTGACTGCCCTACCCTAATTGGTCAGCCAACCAATACAATTAGCCCCAGGAAATTCGCTGCCACACTTCAGTACCACCCTAATGGATCAGCTGACCCCCATACAATGAACTGCAGAGGAACTACTCTTCTGTCCCACCCTAAAATGAGGCCTATAAAATCCAGATATTTGCTTTAGCCCACTACCATTCCCCCCCACCCCCAGGAGGGAAAGGAGCCACCTACATTGTTCTACCCATTGACTAGGCTGCTGATCCCTGAGGTCTGCTTCTGGCCTCCCGCCTGTCATTTGTGCTTACAATACAAATCAGACCACTTGAATAGCTGTATTAATACGGCAATATCAAAAGCATTTTCGTGTCACATTAATGGAGGGACACAGAGATGAAGGGCAGCAAGCACTCCAGTTGTGTTTGGAGAAAAACAAAAGGGAGGGGCTGGGGATGTGGCTCAAGCGGTAGCGTGCTCGCCTGGCCGCATGCGGCCCGGGTTCGAACCTCAGCACCACATACAAAGATGTTTGTCCCCCGAAAACTAAAAACAATAAATATTAAAAAGTTAAAAGAAAAGAAAAGAAAAACAAAAGGGAAAACATGTAGGTAGGGGCACGTTCAGGAGACATGGTGTAGTCTGGCTGAAGAAGTTGTGTTGGTTTCTTGGCTGGGGGAATGGAGAGTACCAGGGCTTGGATAAATTCAACATCTTTCCTACCGGCCGCGCCTCCACCCCCAGCTTCCTGCCCAAAACACACCACAGAACCAGAATTCAAATTTGCATCATAAATTTTATTCCCGATGCGGGACAGATTTTTTCCATCCCCAAAATGAATCACAGGCTGCCCTGGTGAGAGTTAAGAAATTCTCCCACTATCCCCAGGGAATGAATGGAAAGACAAGTGCTGGGGACAGGAAAGGCTTTGCAGTTCCCCAACCTATTTATCTTTCCCTTCTCAACAGAGGATAGCTGCTCTTTGCTATTATTCCTCTCATCGTCTAAATCCCTTTAGGAAAAAAAAAAAAGCCATCACTTAAAAAAAAAAAAAAAACACCTCAAGTATTGGGGAGACATAAGGTTATGGGGTAACCAATAGAAAAGGCAGAGGAAAAGGAACAGTGGCAATCACTGCTTCTGCTGCAGGGCTTCCTTCCTTGCTGCATCCTGTAGCAACTGTGTATCCACTTCGTCTGCTGGCAACTGCACATAACGGACCACTGAGCCCCGGATGAAGCAGTTCTTCACTGATAACTAAACAAAGACACGTAAAAACACCCTTAAAAATTCCTCTAAACACCCAAGGACCTTTGCTTTGGAGGTGTTTCCTCTTTTCCAACCCCAAACTCACCATGTGAGGATATTTCTCAGGGTCTGTAACACTGATGTCAGTTAGTTTGATGTTGAGATACTAAGAAAGGAAGATGAACATCATTATTAACCCTAGGAGACAAGTTGTAAGTACCCAACCCTTAGTTTTTCCTCTCACTTCCCAAGAACAAATTCTGAGCCTTGCTATTTCTCACCTGATCCACAGAATGGAGGGTTCCACAGATGCTGTCAAGGACAAAGAGGGAAAGAACTAAATTAATTTATACTGAAGTCAACATAGAGGTAATTTCAGAGATAGCATGACAACATCACTAAGGTCAAGGCCTTAAGCCAGAAAAGGCAGAACAAAAAGGGCATTCCTAAGCCCTGGTATGGTAAAGATAGAGCTGCCAGAATGATTTATTTTAGACCTCACATCTTCTTTCCCTAAACCAACCCATTCTTTGTATGTGTGTGGTGCTGGGATTGAACCCATGGACTTGTACATGCAAGGCAAGCACTCTACCAATTGAGCTATATCCCCAGCCCCCCAACCCATTCTTAATAGCTACCATTAAACAGTAATTATGGGATAGAACTATATTTAATAATCTTTACAGCTATCTTTCCTAGATAGCTATCACCATCCAGGGACTCAGATATGTAACTTGCCCAAGTTTAGTACAAACAAACAGACATTAGTCCAAGTCTGTCTGATACCCAGAACCATCAGCTAGGGTCCCCCTGTATGTCCTGCCAGTACTGGGGACTGAGCCCAGAGTCATTTTGCCATCGAACTATACATTCTCAGCCCTTTTAAAGAGACAGGCTCTCACTAAGTTGCCCAGGATGACTTGCTACCCTCCTATCAGAGAAAGCTGGAATTACAAGTATGTACCACTCTGCCCAGCCCATCAGCTGTTTTTAAACATATATTGCCCTAGAGCCTTTCTTTTCATTTTAGAAAGGCAATTAAAGAGCAGTTATTCTTAGGAAAAAATTATTTAACACACCACACACACACTTTGTAGGTGTTTCCTCTTCTTTAACCAACACAGCGCTGGGGATAAAACACACAGCCTTGAGCATGTTAGGCAAGCACTCACCAAGCCACATCCCCAGCCCATATTTTTTGTGTTGGAATCTGAGCCTCATATGTAGTAAAGGTATTATTATTGATGATGCAGGCACAAGCCATCCCTTCTCCAATCCTCAAGCCCCCTGAAAGGTTAATGAGGAATGTTATCAAAACATCAATATTGGGGCTGGGGTTGTAGCTCAATGGCAGAGTGCTTGCCTAGCATGTGTGAGGCACTGAGTTCAATTCTCAGCACCACATATAAATAAATAAAATAAAGGTCATTGACTATAAAAATATTAAAAAAAAAAATCAGTACTGGGCTGGAGGGGATGTAGCTCAGTGGGAGAGCACTGAGCCTAACATTTGCAAAGCCCTGAATTCAATCCCTAGTACCACAAAAAAAAAAAAAAAAAAGCAGTGCCACACACATTACCTACCTCCCAACTTCCCAACTTCTTTTATACCTATCAATGACTTCATCGATATTTAAGTCTTACAACTTCAAATCTTATTAGTCTCACTTCTTTACGTCCCATGAATCCCTATTTTTATGCTGACTTGAACAGTTTTTTAATTCCATTTCTAGTTTGACTTCTACAAACCAAGGTCTTATTACTTTGCAATTCAAACCAGGTCAGCCTTCCACCTGGCCACCCTGACCATAACTGTACTACATGTCATCACAAGATTTTAAGTGTCTTAGAATTGTGATTCTGAAACACTCATGTGTATTTAAGGTTTCATGAGCCTGAAACAAAAGAGAAAACACAGGATGAAGTAGTTGAAAGTACATATGGTAAGCTACAGGTTGTCAATAATTTTTCTAAGAATAACTGCTCTTTAATTGTCCTTCCTAATTTTTCTGGTATTAAAAAATAAAAACTTAAGCAAAGTGACTGTAACACATGGCAGATTTTTAGCCGGGTATGGTGGTGCTTGCCTGCATCCAGGCTACCTGAGAGGCTGAGGCAGGAGAATCACAAATCCAAGTCTAGCCATGGTAACTTAGCAAGACCCCATCTCAAAACTGGAAAAAAAAAATTTTTTTTTTTTCATGATGTTGAGGATTGAACCAAGGCAAGAGCTCTACCACCAAGTTATATTCCCAGCTCTCAAAATAATTTGTTTTAGGGCTGGGGATATAGCTCAGTTGGTAGAGTACCTCCTCACATGCATAAGGCCCTGGGTTCAATATCCAGCACCAAAAATAAATAAATAAATAAAGTGTTGCAGCCAAACACAATGGCACTCACCTATAATCCCAGTGACCTGAGAGGCCAGAGGGAAGAGGATCCCAAGTTCAAGGCAGTCTCAGCCACTCAAAGAGACCCTGTCTCAAAATTTTAAAAATACTACAAAAGAAAAGGGCTGAGGGTGCAATGGTAATGAAACCCTGGGTTCAATCCCCAGTTTTCCAATCAAAAAAAGTGCCAGGGATGGAGCTCAGTAGTAGAGCATTTGCCTAGCATGCACAAGGAATGCCTTGGGTTTAATCAACAATAAGGGAGAAAAAATAGATATAATTGGATTTTGGTATTGGTTGTGTCACTCACTAGTTTTGTATACTTCAAAGTTTCTTAGCATATCTAAACTTGTTTCTTTATGAGTAAAACAGCAACAATGGTGTATGCACAGGGGTGTTGTGAGATTAAATGAATTAATGAACGTCAAGTATTCAGAGCAGTCCTTAGTGGACAGGAGGTCTTCAAATTTTAGCTATTTTTCTTTAAGCACTTGTATACCTGGCCTAAGCTAGGCATTAGGTACACAGGGGTGAGCTTAAACATGGTCCTGGCCCTGTAAGAACAGGCTATAAACAGAATACATACTTCTATGAAATCAAAATCTGAGTCACATCCACTAAGAAAATACTCTGTGCTAGAGGGTTCTAATGTGACTAGAATAACCAGGAAAAATCTTTCCAAAGACACAATATTTAATCCAAATCCTGAAAGATAATCAGGAGATAATAATATAAGAGGGTAGGGGATGAAAAAGCAGTATATAGACAAAAGGAACTGTGTTGATCTCTGATTATCAATTATATTTTCTTTAACATAAGGGTGATCATGCCACATGCAAGTGCTTTCCTTATAATTTCATTCTTCTTTTTATTTATTTATTTATTTTTGGTTACCAGGGATTAAACCCAGGGACACTTAACCTCTGAGTCACATCCCCAGCCCTTTTAATATTTTGAGACAGGGCCTCGATAAATTGCTGAGGCTGGCTTTGAACTTGCAATCCTCCTGCCTCAACCTTAATTGTGTCTGGCCTTCTCATCTCATTCTTAAGGTATATGATATGGAAATACCACAATTTAACTAACTCCCTTTGTTCCCCTTTCTTTGTGTTACTGGGGTATTGAACCCAGGATCCCACAAGTGCTAGTCAAGAGCTTTCCACTGAGCTACATCCTCAGCCCTTTATTTTAGAGACTGGGTCTTATTAAGTTGTCAAGACATATTTATACATTATTTATGTAACTGATTCTCAGATTTCTGGAAGTTGAAACAAAAGAGTATTTAAGTTAATAATAAGGAAAAAAAAAAAAAAAGCCTGTTGCTTTTGGGAAAAAATGTAGAGACCTCAGAGACCTCCATTCTCTGACCTGTCTCACACTTTTTATTTATTTATTTGTTTTGGTAGTTGCAGATGGACAGAATGTCTTTGTTTAATTGGTTTATTTTTATGTGGTGCTAAGGATTGAACCCAGTACCTCACACATGGTAGGGAAGGGCTCTGTCACTGAGCTACAGCCCCAACCCTGTTTCACATCTTTAATAAGAACTAGATATTTCTTTATATTTTCCAATACATCATACAACTCCCCAGCTATTTTTTTTTTTTTTTTTTTTTGGTCTCATGGATTGAACTCAAGGGCACTCAACACTGAGCCACATCCCCAGCCGTATTTTGTATTTTGGTTAGATACAGGATTTCACTGAGTTGCCTAGCGCCTCCTGTTTTGTGAGGCTGGCTTTGAACTAGCGATCCTCCTGCCTCAGCCTCCTGAGCAGCTGGGATTACATTCCCCAGCTAGTCTTTAAGCTTAAGACACAAGTCATTCATTTCTTCGACATCTCTCCCATCTTGCCCAGCCCTCATATTTTCATGTATGTTCCACACCCGAAGCACACCCACCCTCCACAGATTCGTTGAAACAGGTACCTACCTCAGATCATTCTTGAGTTCCACGACCACATCCTTGCCCACAAGGGACTTGAAAAAGGAGTAGAAGAGCTATTGGGCAAGAGGGGCAAAACCATCACATTGGAAGGGACATGATAGGGAGGAGTGTCCCCTGCCAGTATTTTCAAATACTGGTATTAGTGGCCCCATTGCATCTTTGGCAGTTTTCAAAAATTCAAATACTCGGTTGAAAGGGGTGAGTGGCTGGATCCCAAATAATTCTACACACCTCAGTGAGTCCCGTATCTAAAGCCCCAGACACACTGCTCTGAATCCTTCGGTTCTCGGGCCCGCTCAGCCTGTTCTGAGGTCCCTACCCACTCCTTTCGGTAAACTGCAAAAGGTATACCACTGGCACGGTCCCGAAGTTTTATCTCCGGCGGGAAAGTGCTCCTTGAGGTTGTCCCCACCAACTTTCGCTGGGATTCGTTGGGATTTTTCTCTCATAGGAAAAAAAACCATTTGCTCCCAGTAGTCTCCTCCGAGAACTTGAGGCGCACGAACTAAGGATGGAGGGAAAAGCTCCGGGGCCTAATTCCAGCCCAGAGGGACAAATACTGAAGTCCCATCCCGCGCCCAACTGTCCTAAACACCCGCGCCCCCCGCCGGCGCTCCCTTGTGACGTCACGGTACCCACCATGGTGCCGGCGCCGCGCGCTGCCGGCGGTACCGAGAAGGAAAGCGCCGGGTGCCGCGGGCCGGAGGCCGGGCCAGAACCAGAGCGCGAGTCCGCGCGTGGGGCGGGGCAGATTCACGCAGGCGCAAGGGAAGCGCTGCGAAAGCTTGGAGTAGACCAAGAGAGCGCGGGGCTCTCGTGGCTCGGAGGGGAGAGGGTAAGGTACAGCCCAGCCGGACTGGAAGCCAGGAAAGAGGCGGGGCTTCCTGTCTTCCTACTTCCTCCCAGGGCGAGTCAGCACCTACTGCGCAGGCGCAGGCAAAGCGGCCGCCGGGGGTTAGGAATGTTTGGCTGCTGTCTTCCAAGGTTTTTTTTTTCCTGTCACTTTTGCGGGAAACAGCGTTATTTGCGCAAACCCTAAACACACTTTCTATTGAGAACTGTTAGGATGTTTTTAAAAATTCATCGCTTTGTGCTAAGTGAAATTTAAAATGATTCCCCCAAGATCAGGGGAGTCTTTTTATCAAAAGTTCCCAGTAAATAGATTTCTCCTAGCCTTAATTACTGTTTTTTTTTTTTTTTTAATTCTTTTGTTCTTTTTGTTTGTTTTAGGTGCTGGGGATTGAATCCAGGGCCATAGGTGTGCTAAGCTTGTGCTCTACACTGGCTTACACCCCTAGCCTCACTCTCCATATTTATATACTTTTGCCAAGGGCTGTTCTATAAAGGATTAGAATTAAACAGACTGTGGCTCCAGGTGGCAATAACCCACTGTAATGTTTCACTTCCAGACACAAATGCAATTAAATATGTAATATGATAGCTGAAAATATTTTTTCATGGAATAAGACTATAAATTTTCCATTTCTCATCTTGCATAAATGTAAATTTGTCAGGAGTTTGTTGAAATCGTTTCTGCATGTAAAGGACATAATGGATTCTGTGAGTTGAGCCCAGCCACAAATACTGGATCTCCTGGACCCCACCTATAATGAATGGGGACATCAAACAGGGTTTGCACCCTCACCCCCAGCTGAATCCTAAAACTGCATGTAACTGGTTATGAGAAGTAACCATAGTAAACAACTGCTCCATTTAGGCTAAAGGTACCTGAGGATTGAAAAATATTTTTTGTTTGAAACAATGAGCTCATGAAAATCCAAATACTTTGCCCTTACCAGTTTAATCGTTCACAGTGAGCTCACAATCAGAGAACATATATTCTCTATGAACTCTCCTGTTCTTTACTTTTCAAGTTACACTCATAGCCTAAAGATACCAGAAGTAATTTCCTTTAGGAACAAATTTACTGACAATCATCCACACAGGAAAGAGAAAGCTGGGGTGGCTGGAAATAAATAACAGATAATCAAATCCATCAAATGGTTCAAAGAGGGGCCAAGTTTTCCTAATAGTCCATTTCAGAGTTACAGACAAGACGGAGTATGAAAAGATGATGAATGAGACGCCTCCATTAGAATCCCAAAGTAATGTTAACTTAGGTTCAGTTCCAGTCAAGAATCATAATTGGTGTTTGAAAATGAAGAGAATAAAATTCACCTATAGGCACCCTAGAGCCCTCCCGTTCCAGAAAAGATTAATCTACTTCTTCAATGGTAGGGCCAGTGGCAGGCCTTCCAGGTGTATATCCTGTTCCACAGGTAGGCCCAGTGCATCCTCCCTGGTAGAGCTTTGTGATGATGGGGTTACACACCTGCTCCAATTCCTTTCTCTTATGATCATACTCATCTTTCTCAGCGAGTTGATTTGCCTCCAACCAGGAAAGGACTTCATTGCATTTACTCAAAATTTTCTTTTTATCAGATTCACTAATCTTGTCCTTCAAACCTTCATCACTCACAGCACTCTTCATGTTAAAAGCATAGGATTCTAGAGCATTTTTGGCAGCAATTTTCTCCCTCTGCATCTCATCTTCAGCTTTATATTTCTCTGCATCCAAAACCATGCGCTCGATCTCCTCCTTGCTCAGGCGGCCCTTGTCATTGGTGATGGTGATCTTATTGGCCTTGCCCGTGCTCTTGTCCATGGCTGTGACATTAAGAATTCCATTGGCATCAATGTCAAAGGTCACCTCAATCTGAGGAACTCCCCTGGGTGCAGGAGGTATTCCAGTCAGGTCAAAGCGCCCCAGTAGGTTGTTGTCACGTGTCATAGCCCGTTCACCCTCATATACCTGGATCAGCACCCCAGGTTGGTTATCTGAATATGTGGTGAAGATCTGTGTCTGCTTAGTGGGGATGGTGGAATTACGCTTAATCAGCACAGTCATCACACCCCCAGCTGTCTCTAACCCTAGAGACAGAGGGGCCACGTCCAACAAAAGCAGATCCTGTACCTTTTCAGATTTGTCACCCATCAAAATGGCTGCCTGTACTGCAGCCCCATAGGCTACTGCCTCATCAGGATTGATGCTCTTGTTGAGATCACGTCCATTAAAATAGTCCTGAAGCAGTTTCTGCACCTTAGGGATGCGAGTGGAGCCCCCTACTAAAACAATGTCATGGATTTTAGCCTTATCCATCTTGGCATCTCGAAGAGCTTTTTCCACAGGTTCCAGGGTACCCCTAAACAGGTCTGCACACAGCTCTTCAAACCGGGCTCTGGTGATAGATGTGTAGAAGTCAATGCCTTCATAAAGTGAATCAATTTCCAGATTGGCTTGGGTGCTGGATGATAGGGTCCTCTTGGCTCGCTCACAGGCGGTACGCAAACGCCTCACCGCTCGCTTGTTCTGGTTGATATCTTTCTTGTGTTTCCTTTTGAACTCCTCTACAAAGTGGTTCACAAGCCTGTTGTCGAAGTCCTCTCCACCTAGGTGGGTGTCCCCAGCTGTAGCCTTTACTTCAAAAATCCCATCATCTATGGTCAGGATGGACACATCAAATGTGCCTCCACCCAAATCAAAGATGAGTACATGTCGCTCTCCCTGACCTGCCTTATCTAAGCCATACGCAATGGCAGCAGCTGTGGGTTCATTGATGATTCTTAGCACATTGAGTCCTGCAATCACACCTGCATCCTTGGTGGCCTGGCGTTGAGAGTCATTGAAATAGGCCGGTACAGTGATCACAGCATTGGTGATCAGGTGGCCTAAAAAAGCCTCTGCAGTTTCCTTCATCTTAGTCAATACCATTGAAGAAATTTCTTCAGGGTAGAAAGCTTTTTTCTCCCCTTTATAGGACACCAGCACCTTGGGCTTGCCTCCTTCATTGATCACTTGAAAAGGCCAAAGTTTCATATCTGACTGCACAACAGGATCATTAAATTTCCTGCCAATCAGACGTTTGGCATCAAAGACAGTGTTCTGAGGATTCATGGCTACCTGGTTTTTGGCTGCATCCCCAATAAGCCGTTCTGTATCCGTGAAGGCCACATAGCTGGGGGTGGTGCGGTTGCCCTGGTCATTGGCAATGATCTCCACCTTGCCATGCTGGAACACCCCTACACAAGAATAGGTGGTACCCAAGTCGATGCCTATGGCTGTTCCCTTAGCAGCAGCCATGGGTTTCCGAGGCCTGTGGAAGAGAATGAGATACTGTTTTGGCAGAGTTCTATTTATTTATTTAGAGTAACAAATGATCATTCAGTTTTCTAAAAAAAACACAACTATGAGAATAAACCTAGCCAAGACTCATGAGCCCTTGAAATACAGGTAGAAGCCCTGACACAGCCTGCAAAATGTTTTTCTTCATAACACACATTTCTAGGGTTTCATGTTTTGTCACTTCTTACAGGGGAAAGAAAACCAACTAAAGGGCCAGGTTTGTGGCTCAGTGGTAGAGTGCTTGCCCCTAGCATGTGTGAGGCACTAGGTTCAATCCCTGGTACCATATAAATAAATAAATAAATAAATAAATGTATTATGTCCATCTACAATTAAGAAAAAATATTTTTAAAAAAGAAAGAAAAACCAATTAGAAACTGCTGGGCATGGTGGCACACATCTCTAGTCCAGCTGAGACAGGAGGACTACAAGTTCAAGACTAGCTTCAGTAATTTCGTGAGACCCTGTCTCAAAAAAATAAAAAGGAGTCGGGTGTTGTGGTGCATGCCTGTAATCCCCACAGCTCAGCTCTGGAGGCTGAGGCAGGAAGATCAAAAGTTCAAAGCAAAAGCAAGGCACTAAGTAATTCAGTAAGACCCTGTCTCTAACTAAAATATAAAATAGGGCTGGAGATGTGGCTCAGTGGCTGAGTGTACCTGAGTTCAATCCCTGGTACCCAAAAATATAAAATAAAAAGGACTAGGGATATGACTCAGTGGTTAAATGTCTATAGGTTTAATCCCCAGTACCAAAACAACAATAAAAAACTAGTCAACTGGCAAAACAACACAGGGACATGCACAGTTAACCACCTTCCTACTGCCAAATTTGCTCCCTATTCAATCTGAACACTGTCCATCAGACAAGGTTGCAGTCTTGAAATCAGTGATGATCTTGGCCTATATTCATTTTGAAGCTATATCCTATGTTAACAGGAATCCATTTTATCATCATCAATTAAATGTAGCTTTCAAAAGGTGTCAGGCATATTCTTAGGAATCATCCTGCCATGGTCCTTGCTTTCAGGTTCTGAATGGGATGCTGGCACAGCTTCTTTTTCTGAACCATGGGGAACCCATGAATTGTTCCTTCTATCTGTGGCCTGAAGATACAGTTTAATTTTGGATCCATCACCTGAGAAACAGTCTTCTCAATTCTTGCTTCTAACATCCCTAAATGAACCACATTCTGCTTCAGGCAATTTCAAAACTGGTTCATTGTAGGATTCCAGTCCTGCCTATCCAGTTGTGTTGACACTAAATTATACACTTTATGCTTCAGTTTTTTTTTTAAGTATTTTTAGTTGTAGATGGACACAATATATTGGTGCAGAGAATCAAACTCAGTGCCTCACACATGCTAGGCAAGCACTCTACCACTGAGCCACAACCCCAGCCCTATGCCTCAGGTTTTTGTTAAGATAATTTAGAGTCCTATCAGGTAATTCTGGGGAAACTGTTGATAAGACCCCGGTTCTTGGAGGGCTGGGCATTGTGGCACATGCCTGTAATCCCAGTGGCTCAGGAGGCTGAGGCAGGAGTTCAAATCAGATTGAAAGTTCAGAGCCAGCCTCAGCAACCTCAACCCAGTGAGACCCTGTCTCTAAATAAAATGCAAACCAGGGCTGCAGATGTAGCTCAGTGGTGGAGTACCCCTGATTCCTGATTTCAATCCCCAGTACCAAA